CCAAAGCGCCCTCCCCACTGATGGAGAAACCCGAAGAAAAACCAAAAAATGCGAAGGCTGGTATGGCCAAGGATGCTGCAGAGAAGCCACCAAGAAAGACAAAGAAAACGAAGGAGACCGAAAACCCCACGGAGACCTCGAGCCTACCAATATCAGGTGATGTGTAGTCCGGCTTCTGGTCCCTCAGCACCGCCAAAGAAATCATCAGGAACGAAGAAGAAACGAAGGAGACCGAAAAGCCCACGGCGACCTCGAGCCTACCAATAATCGGGTATGAGCAGTCCCCGTTCTTCTGGACCCTCTACACCGCCAATAATATCTCAGGAACGAAGGAAGTGCCACATAAATCGTCGGCTCGTCAGTCTGGGTAGTACATGTTTCCTTGTCATACTTCTGGATGTTGAAATTCTAATCCTGAAAGCTGTGTCGAGAAAGCTTGAACGGTGCAGGACAAACCGCAGCTGCTCTGAAAGTACGCAGAGTTTGCTATATTGATTAAACAACACGTCTTGATTGACCACCTTCAGAAAAGAAGAAGGCAAGGTGAAGGGTAAAGAAGTTGAAAAGTGAACCAGCTCCTGAGACACCTGGTTCGTCTTCGAGAGTCATCAGAATTTCCTTGTCATCAATGATTTATCGCAGCTCCGACAAAAGGCCGCAAGAAAGCTGCAATCGCGGGAGCTTCAGAGGCTCCAGCTCCGAAAGAAAGTGCGTGGTATCATACATTGATCCCGCGCTTTCTAATGTTCTACAGAGAAGACTAGGCAAAGCAAAGCAACAAAAGCCAAGGCTTCTGATGCAGATGGTGCGCAACTCATTCTGACAGCAGTCACTGTCTGACCAATGCTAGATCAATAGCTGGCCCAATTGTCAATCCAATAAATATTCAGGACATTGTGAATTCAATAGCACGTGCCTCGGAGGAGTTGGCTAAACAGAATAATACCAATACTGAGGTGAATTCGGTTAACACTTCCCAGTCGTCCATTTCACTGGCCCCCCCTGTAATTACGACCACGAAAGGTGGTGTGTCATCTATTCCGCTTTGCCATGCTTGCTCTGGTTCCTTTCATCCCCTGTATCAATGCCCAACGGTGCTGGCAGGCCAGGAAGCGATACAGAATAGAATTGAGGAATTGAGGAAAGCAGGGGCAAAGAAGTATCAAGTCACTATCAAAGATTTGGAGTCGTTGTTAAAGTCCCCTAGCGCTGCAGTGCCTTCCGCAAAACGCGGCGCTGCAGATACTGCGAAGCCATCACGGACTACGATAGCAGATAAGGAGTCTCCACCTTCTTGGACGCCCCTTGTGCCAAGTCACTCGCTACTTTCAGAGGTGACTGTGGAGAGCCGCGACGAAGGAAGCAGTTCGGAGGAAGAAGACGAGATTGCTCAAGAACAAGAACAAGAGGAGCATGGACCTGACCCCGGTCAGCGTTCGCTCGAAGACGTTGATTTGGACGCCATCATGCGAGGTCCGGGGTCAATCAAGCTTCGTAACTTGATCGATACCTTGGAGTCGAAAGAGGATGAATCAGACACCGAGAACGAAGACGACGACATCGGACCTCTGGAAGTGGAAGATGATGGCGAGAATGAGCGGAAATACCGTCGATTATCGCAGCGCTGGGTCAATTCATCTGAAGAGGAAGGGGATGAAGACGACGAGAGCGAGCAGCGCTCAATATCCCCGCCGATACAAAAGGTTTCCGAGCCATTGCCTTCAACTGCCACGCCAAAACCTTCTGCAGGTCCTGATGAGACGTCCAATGCTACAGACCCGGCTGGAAGCAAGAAAGACGGTGTGCAAGGTGCTTTTCACACGAATGCCACCCGCGTTTCTGTGTCAAAGGTTCAGGATAGCGACAATGACTCGGCCAAAGATGCTGGGGAAGCACCTGTGGCTGCAGACCTGGACAAAGCATCGGATACATCACCTGCCCGTGGTGCTGCGCTCTCTCGTAATAAAGTCGACACTCACGATGACCCTATTGAACCAGCCGACGATCTGATGGAATTTCAGCACGTGATATCATCTGATAATGATCCCATCGAAGTTATAACGCCGCCAACTCAGAAAACTGCAAGACCACCTTCCCCAGCAGCCCACTCGACTCCAAAGTCCGGCATAGTAAAACGGATGAAGGATCGACACGGGCAACTTCTCAGCCCGTCTCAGTTTCCTGTACGTGCTGATGAATCCAAGGTCAATGGATCCCAGAGAGCAGGCGCTGAGGGGAAGAAGAATACTGCCACTCGGACAGGCAATGATAAACCGTCGATCCGCGGCGGTAAGGCAGCAACACGGACAGATCTCCCTCGCATCTCTTCGCAACCAACGAAAAGGAGCACAAATTTGAACGGCCATGGCGTAACACCGTCACATTCGCAACCTTTATCGAAACCTCCAGCTTCTCTTGCCAAATGGTCTTCCCTTCGTGTACCTTCGCCGTCTATTTTGGTGGAAGAACTTGATAGTTCTCCCACTGGACAGGGTGGCAAACTTGCTGGCAAAGCATCTGATCAACACAGCCCGGGAGAACATTCTGATGATGATTCAGCAGGCAAAGCCGGCGGGTCACTTTTCACGTTGCCGGCGAGCCAAGTACCCTTTCCACACTCGCAGTACAAGGCATCTATCCAGAAACACATGGAGGTAGTTTCGGACTCGGAATCTGAATCCGAGGCGGAGGCCGGAGCCGAGAAGAGGAAGACGACCAATGCTAAAACGCGCAGATCGATACCACCCTACCGCAGACTGACGGATATCGCGAGTCAAGCAACGCTTTTCTCGCAAAGTAATCCTGTCGCACCTCGTGCGGGCACCATAGTTAACGGTATGGGAGGGCAGGTGGATGATGATGATGACGACGACGATGACGACGATTCGTCATCTGAATCTGATAACGAGGGCCAGTCGCACATCCCACAAGCGAACAGGGCAGGGAAGCTCCGCTCGAAAAAGACTAAGGGACTTTTAGCGTCTATGGTTTATTGATGATCTCGTTCACGGCCTCCCATATTACTTTTTTCTTCTACATACTTGCGCTGATAGAATTCGTTTCTCTTTTGTGTACAGTTAATGAAGCAAACAAGAGTATCCTAGGAAATTATACAGATACCAATTCGCTGTCTTGAGTGACGAGCGGTGAGAATGTAGAAACACTAATATCCTATCACTCGGTCCATGGTCGTGAGAGATAGAATCATCTGACGATGATGAGATGGCACGAAGGATACTTGTGGGGTGTCTCGAAACCCGCGGTTGAGCGCTGAGCTCTCGGCTGCCCTCCAGAGCGTGTCCAGCACCTGCTAGTGAGAAATAACAACACATTGATTCTCTCTCATTTTAGACGTACGTGGCTTTGTATATCAGGTCACTGGGCAACTCTAGATTTTCAAATAGGGGTATGACATACAAATTGAGTAAACGATGATCACGCGCTTTTGCGACAAACAATGGCAACAATTCGCCAGGTGACTATATAAACACCGTCGCGCTCATCTTTTTTTTCACAGTTCCATCTGACAGTCAGCAATCTCCAGCTGCAAATCCCCTTTTGAGCGTTCAAGCTCGTCTATGATCTTCACCCAGAACACACGCGACGAGTAAGTTTATTGCTTATAAGCTCGATCAATTCTCGCTGATGCATTTCGACATTTAGCTACCTCGGCGACCTCGTATTCTCCCTCATCGGATTCTGATCAATAAATCATGTTTGCTCGATCCATCATTCGTTTACCAACAACTCTCTCCCGGGGTTTTGCAACACACACAGGCCCTCTCTCAGCCTTACCAGCAGTCTTGCACCTTAAAACAGGCCAGTCCTTCCATGGCCGTTCATTTGGTTCTCCCAGAAGCATCTTCGGCGAGACCGTCTTCTCAACGTCCATCACTTCTTGTATGTCGAAATATTGATCATCTAATGCACAACCTTCTCATCATCTCACCCTTTAGACACTGAGTCTATGACTGACCCTTCTTACCGTGGTCAAATTCTAGTATTCACCACGCCTCTCATTGGCAACTACGGTGTTCCATCTAACAACGCACCAATTAATTCCCAGGACGTTGGTGTGGTCCTGGAGTCTCAAGGCATCCAATGCAGCGCTATTGTAGTAGCTGATGTCGCAGAAAAATTCTCTCATCATTCCGCGGTGGAATCACTAGCATCATGGTGTCGCCGATCCAACATTCCCGCCATCACTGGCGTAGACACCCGTGCAGTCACGCGCCTCCTTCGTGATCAAGGAACCACACTCGGTCGCCTTGCCATTGGTCCTGATGCTTGCGCTCCTGCGCCTGCCTCCGAGCAGTATTGGGACCCCGCAGTTGAGAATCTTGTCGACCAGGTGTCGACAAAGTATCCCTACCAGCTCAACCCTACTGGGGATATCAAGATCGCAGTCCTTGATTTCGGTGCCAAGGCCAATATTCTGCGTTCTCTCGTTCGCCGGAACGCTGCAGTCACGGTATTGCCATGGAACTACGATTTCAACGCCATCCGTGACAAGTTTGATGGTCTATTCCTGACCAATGGTCCCGGAAACCCGAGCCAATGCATGGAAGCCGTTTCCATACTTCGCAAGACACTTCAGGAGTGGAACAAGCCCGTGTTTGGTATCTGCATGGGGCACCAGATTATTGGTATGGCTGCCGGCCTCGAGGCATACCGCATGACGTTCGGCAACCGCGGGCACAACCAGCCTGTCCTCGCTCTCGCATCAGCAGGTTCCATTAAGGCTGGGAGGGTTTATGTTACCAGGTATGCATTCTTCAGTCATTATGAGTCATGGATGGTGCTAAATGGCGTCATCAGTCAAAATCATCAATATGCTCTTAAGCTGTCTGACCCCTTCCCGCAAGGCTGGGAACCATTCTTCATCAACTGCAATGACTCTTCTGTAGAGGGCATCAAGTCCACCCCTGAGTCTGGAAAAAAGGTGTGGGGTGTTCAATTCCATCCCGAGAGCGCCGGCGGCCCCCTCGACACAATTGAGGTCTGTTGTTATTAGTCGTCTAGCCCGGCCGTTGCTAATTTATCGTGTAGATGTTCACGGACTTCCTCGATGAATGCCGTATGCATAAAGCAGAGAATGTCAAGAAGCCTGTGGCCACTACCATTGATGTTGCCAGCTTCATGGTGGAGCAGCCTGCCCGTGTCCAAGTTACTGCCTGATTGATCATTTTATTTTACCGTTCTCATTATACACGTAACCAGATACGGTGTACGATACTTATTCCTGCAGGCATGATTGATGGTCTTGTTTTGTACTTGTATTTCGTGGAATTCGCGATAGCTTGGCAAATTGTATAATTTGTATTCTGTGATTGAAAACTTGCCTAATCGGGCGTTCATGGATCCGTCGTTGCATGCACGCAACCCGTATTCCTGGATCTAAGAAGTTGACCATGAATTTCCTTGATACTTATGGGCTGACTGGGACGGGTACGAACACGCCGCCCGTGAATGCGCTCCCAGAACAGAGCCTCAATGAAGAGGTTTCTCAGGTCATCGGCCAGCTCGGAAAGTTCTGGGGAGGGTTCAGGAAGCAGGCACGTTTACATCCGCTCTATGATTACGATAATTGAAACTCACGCCAGAGATCTAACAGAGCGAAACTGCGTTCGCAACTGCGCGCAAGGATTTCGGCGAGGTAGTCACACAAGCGCAGAAGGAGCTTGGCAAACTCGCTATATCAACCGAAACCCCTGCCAATGATGCTCACACTAGTGAAGCTGAGGACACCTCTGACAAAGAGAGCGAGAGCGAGTGTGGCACAGCTCCTGAGACGCCTACTGCAGAATCGCACAGCGCAGAAGGCTCAATTTCGATTTCACAATCATTCTTTGCTCGCCTCCAATCTTCGCTTCCGCCTAATATTGTCTCGAATGTCCAAGCTCAGCTTCCTGAAAGTCTCAAACACCCACAAAGCATCGATCTGTCACAGTTGCGGACGACGCTAACTACCGAATTTCAGCGCGTCCAGGGGGTGACGCGTGCGCAGGCGGAGGAATATGTCCACAAGAGCGAACATCTGCTGCGGGAAGCTATGAAGGAAGCCAGTGAAGCCCTGCGAGACGCGGTGAAGGTAATTCCACCAGAGGAGGGCGAAGGATATTCAAATCAGGGTCTGGTTTGGGATGGATCTGACGTATGGATGCTACCGATGGAAGGAGGGGATGTCAAGGGCAAGGGCAAGGAGACGGATTTGGGCGTTTCGTCGAGGCGACAAAGCGAAGATGCCCGTCAGGCTGTCGCGACGCGCGCACAAGCGCTGTTGAAGCAGCTGAAGAGTAATCCTGAGATCATCAAGCTTGATCCCGATGCTGATGCGGGGAGGGAGACGTTCCATGTTTGGGTGTCTGAGGCGCAGAGCAAGGATGAACACCCTGGTACTAAATTTTGGTCAGAACGCATCGCAAGGGCGCTATCTGATCCAGATGATGGTCAAACGCTGGAAGAGACGTTCAATGCACTAGGTATGTTGATTACTACAATCCTCATTGTCGACGCTTATGGTTGCCTCAGTACCTGCCGTTCTTTCTGACGATGAATTCTGGACACGATACTTCTTCCGTGTATATCAGATCGAACAAGAAGAAATGAGACGCAAGGCTCTTATTCACGGTACATGACTTTTTGTCTTTTGCAACACGACATTTTATTGATTGATACCTTCACAGGAGCACACCAGACCGAAGAAGACTTCAGCTGGGAAGATGACGACGACGAATCCGTTGCTCCTGAATCTAAATCCATCGGAGCTCTCGAATCGTCGACCCTATCACAACGTACGCTGGCACCGAAAGCGGCAGACACGAGCGACGTTCAATCGCTCCCAAATTCTTCGCAATTCAATACTCCTATGACCATGAGTCCTAGGGAAAGTAGTGAGGACAGTTATGATGTGGTTTCTGGTAATGTCAGTGCTGCAGGAGATGCACAGGAGCATGTACACAAGGATGAGGACGATGAAGAGGAGAGCGACTGGGAGTAAGATTTTGGTGTTCTTATGTAGTTGTATATAAGTAGTTTGGATCAGCCTATCATATAATACCTCAGAGAGCAGATGTTGGGTACTATTTATACGTTTAACTAAATCAGGCGAACCCTAAAACAGCTCTCTCTCTAAACTAAGTCTGGGTTTTGCCTTCCACTTGCCGATTCCTCAATTGCAAGTGATGCGGAATGAGCTTTATCCATGAAAAGCGTATCAGGTCGCGTCTTTGTTCGCGCAACACCATCATCAACCTCCTTCGCTTCTTCTGGGTCGTTCTTGTTATTTGGTGCGAATTCGGTGTATTTTTTTACAGTTTATCAGATTGCAAGTGGCCAGACAAGGAGTTGAAGGAGGTGAGTTCATCCAACTAAATAGTTCTGTCCTTGTAATGACACGCTGTCAAGGCTGGGTCAACAGAAAAGCCAACTCGAGTCCTCTTGATTGCTGACCCCCAACTCCCAAACCCGAGGCGTTCAGGGATTTCGTGGCTTCACTATGATGCATCCTCTACTAGATACTTACGAAAAGGCTGGAGCGTCGTCACTCGTCTGCACCCTCACGTAGTCGTATGGCTAGGCGACGTGCTTGCCTCTGGACGCTACGTCACGAATGAAGATGAGTACGTGTCATTATTGCAAACACCTGCTTATATGCGCTAAACATTCTTGATAGATACAAAAACTACGTAGATGAATTTAAGGGGATATTCGCCACCGACAAATCCGTGCCGAGCTATTTTGTTCCAGGGAATAGAGATGTTGGGTGCGTGCTTGACTCGTGACGTGGTCATTCGGGAATTTGGTGACCCGACCTTTGTTTTTCAGTCTCGGGGAATCTTCTGCGTTCTCAAAGAATGCGCGAAAATACTTTACCGAGTACTTTGGTCCTGTGAATCAGGAGATCGATTTGGCTGGCCATAGGCTGATCTTCATCGACGCCCCTGGATTGGTTGATGAGGATTATCGCCGACATGGAAAGGGCAAGCAGTACGAGACTTGGACACCAGCTATGGGCGGTCCAATTGAGTTCATCGCATCCGTTGCCATCAGGGGTGGGTGTTGTCTTGCATTTATGAATGTATCTTGGTTGCTGATGTCGGGATTAT